ATTATCTTAAAAAAGGCAATATTGGTCAGCTTGATTCTGTCATATTGCCTCCAAGAATGACTGGGATAGAATCAAGCATACTAAAGTTTAGACATATAGCTCTTATTGCAAAGTGGATTGATCGAAAGGAGGGTAATCAATTAGGTGTGGAAAAATCTAGATATAATTTTATTTTACTCCTACGTGGTACCAGAGATGGTTTCACTGCGCAAGAATTTCATAAACTATGCGATAATAAAGGACCTACTATTGTCGTCATTAAAGTTAAGGAATCTAGTGAAATAATTGGTGGTTATAACCCGTTAGGTTGGCGAAGATTCAGCACACACGCAACTGAAGGTGGTTGGATGTCTGCCGCTGCTCCACCTTGGTCTCCACATCGTCGAAGACCTTCATTAAATATCACTCGATCTACATACGATGTTGGTCCTTATCAAAGTAGTCATGATAGTTTTCTATTTTCTCTTGGTGATGGAAAAAATCTTGAGAATGCAAAGCTCAGTCGTGTCTCTCCAGAAAACGCTTCTTTTGCTGTATTTTCTTCTCAATATCATGGTCCTTGTTTTGGACAAACCGATTTGAGAATGAATGATAATTTTAACTCTCCTTCAAAGTGTACTTGCCAACGATACGATTATGAAACTGAAATTTGCGAGCTTCAAAATTTCTCTGTCGAGGAATATGAAGTTTTTCAAGTAGTCGACAAAAATGCATCAACATCTTCACAATCACCATCTGATCAGTCGTATCCAGCTTCAACTATGCATCCTCCAAGACCAGAGTTTACAAATTATCCAACATCTTGGTAAGAATGTTTAAACATTTTCTTTCTTGTAGATAGATGTCAATTAATTAATTGTGTCCGTTGTCTGACTTTAGGGGGGAATTCATGCATTTTTAAGAAGTTGTTGTGATAATCGTCTTTTGACTGTAGATGCTTGATCTTTGGTTGTAAAACTTAGCATAAACAATTTTAATAAATAGTGAAAGTACTTGAAAATAGAACAATCAGGTTTGTGAAAACTTTAATCAATTTCACCTCGACTGATTTGATATCACATCTCCATGATCCGTGTTGAAATTTATTTATAATTTTATGTACAATGCGTATTAAAGAAAAGACATTTGTGTAAAACACGGGTTTTTGCATCTATTATATTATACATATATATGTAGTTTTTTGACATAAATTTCTATGTTAAATTTAAGGTTAGATTTTAAAGCTTGGAAGAGATTTGAGCACATTTTTGGTTAAAAGCACAAAATATATTAATCAGATCAATTAGCCAGTTTTTGGCAATAATATATATGTATCTATTATAGATGTAAAACAAAATAAATGTATTTGGTAAAAGTTTTTAAACAAATATTATTAATTTATTCACTATAAAAATTAAAAATTTTGAAGCGAGAATATTATTTAAAATATTATGTATTAATTAGTTTTTTTTAAATATATTGTATATACTGTATATAAATATAAAACTAAGTAAATTTTAAAACAAGTTTTGCAATTTTAATTTTTTTTAAAAAAATAAAATATTAAAAAATTTAAATACTGTAAATTATTTATAAATTAAAATTGAAAATACTAGAATTCACCTTAGGTAATTATTATTTGTAATTTACAATATATAAAAAAAAATAATTAATTTTTATTAAAACAAGTATTAATCCTTTTAAAATTAGAGTAAGAAATTTTTTTTGTTAGAGCATAGTTTTATAGGCAAAATTTTGAAATATAAGTATTTTTTAAAAAGATTTTTTGGTTTGTTATACAAAATTAAGATAATAATTATCTGAGATGTAAATTAGCAATTTTTATTAAAATTTTTTTTTTCAGTATTAAGATAATCTTTTAGGCTAGAAACATTTTATTAGTTTATATCTTTCAATTACAGTAAGAGTACATTAAGCCACACATGCACTTTTTGGGTGCCTAATTTAAGTAGTCTGCCTAAAAGTTCTATACTATCTGCCATACCTGTACCCCAACTAGGGAGTACCTATTTAAACCCTTTAATCATAACCTACTTTCAAACTAATGGGTAACCTCTAACTCTGGATATTACTTACTATACAGAAGTAGATTTTGTATATACCCAATTAGATTTTGCACCCACCTTAGAACTTACTAACCTTATATTAAGCTAGTTTATCTATGAGATAAACCTAATAAAGTAGTCCATATTTCACACATGTTTTTATCTGCATGTTTAATAACTTCTTCCTAACTAGTACTTGTTGTACTACTATCACCAGGTTTGTATTTCAAGCCAACTTTTGGGATACTGCTATAATCTAATTCATATCTCAAACTACAACCTTTCTAATTAGTTGCCTATTACATACTTCTGCCCTTATATAGTTCACAACAACCCTAGTACCCATATTTTAACTATTTTCTTATCCGGATTTTTTATTGGTCCATCTCTTACTTCCAGCTAGCAACCCAGAAAGGTCGGTCTGCCCAGGCTTTAGATGACTCATAGTTGCCCTTCTCTTGGTTTATACTTTCGGAGTATATATCCTTTTTCTCTGATGCAACAACCCAGTGGTTTGGCTAGTGTGTCTTTGACTAGCAGACCTGGTTGCTTGGTTCTCCGATCTCAGGCCTGGTTCGAATTCAGCTCTCCTGTGATACTATCAAAAATCACTGTTATCTCCAAATTCAGAACTTTCCAAATGGGTTTTTAGTTATGCTAGTTCTTCGAATTTATTATGCCAAAGCTCTCATTATTAGATAGTATAACCAAAGTTACAGATTTAGTTCTAGATCTAACTAATAAGCATAGCCATCAACCAAAACACAAGCCTATTTTTCAAATATCATTGTCTATAGAATTTGAACTCTAGACCTGCTACTTGGAGAGGGTGATGACTAGACTACTACACTAAGTTGCTATATTTCTCTTTTATTAAAATTTATAGTATATAATAACAATAAATATTTAATCATTTTTGTATATTATTATTATTATTATGAAATTAACTAATATTTACTACAGGTGATTATCACCTGTGATTTACAATATAAACAAAAACAATTAATTTTTAGCAAAACAAAAATTAATTTCTTTAAGATTAGAGTAGAGTAAGGGTTAAAGGTTAGGGTTAGTGGTTAGAGTAGAGCTTTATATATAGTAAAATTTTCCAAAGAATTTTTTTTATTAGAGTTTAAAAGGTGGTTTCATAAACAAAATTTTAAGTTATAGTAGTTTTTAAAAAAATTCATTGTTTTTGCTACACAAAATTGATTTATATGTTACACCTAATCCTGAATTTTAATTGGCAAATTGTTTACAGGTGATAATCACCTGTGGTGTAAATTAGAAATATTATATTATGATTATTATTATTATTTAGCTTATTGATAGTCTTGCTAGAGCTTAAATATAAAACTTCATTTATTTAATAATAAAATATTATTATTAAAAAATGGTTTGAAAAATTGCAAGTCTGATATTTTCTGGCTATAGTTTGCATGTCTAAAAGTAATTTGTTATACCAACTTATAAAAGTTAAAAGACTTTGTTAGCTTATCTAAATTTAATTTTTTTAATTTTTTTTTTTTACTAATTTATCAAAAACAAAAAGAAACTAAACTATAAATATATACTAAAAAGAAAAGTATTAAAAAAAATATATATAAAAACAAAAAAATATAAAAAAAAAACTAAAAAGAAAAGCTATAGAGCTAACAAAACTAAAATACTATCTCTATCAAGAAGCAGCTATATTAAATATAAATTTGACAATAAATATATATAAAAAGTAAAAAAAAAAAAAAAACAAAAAACAAATGAATATACTATTATAATTTTTTTTTTTTTTTTTAATATTTAGGTTACCACTTAGGCCCCTGGCACTTTTTTAGTTCAAACGGG